ACCCTTCAACCTTGCTATTGCTATCTTTCATTTACTCCCTGCTAACTTATGCTTTTCTGTGTTCCTCATTTCTTTCCCAACCGTTACCATTTGACAGGGCCACCTTGAGTTCTGTGTTGCGAGTCAAACGGTTGCCCCCAACTTCAAAGTGTAATTGTCGATCCAAGACAGTCCCCATCGGCGGCAGGCTTTTTGCAATTGGACATTATACAAATTTGGGACATTTGCCGATTCAGAAACCAAACGATCAGGAAACTACGATTCAGAAACCAAAATAGCCGATTCAGAAACTACGATTCAGAAACCAAGGCAGTCCGATTCAGAAACCAAATGGTCCGATTCAGGAACCAAATGAGCCGATTCAGAAACCAAATGGGCCGATTCAAAGCGAGTCCCGATTCAGAAACCAAAACATCCGATTCAGAAACCAAGTCGGACGATTCAGAAACCAAAACAGCCGATTCAGAAACCAAAACAGCAGCTTCGGAAATCAAAACAGCCGATGCAGAAACCAAGTCAGACTGTTCAGAAACGAAGCCAAACGATGGTTGCAATGGGGTGGAGGGCAGGAGGAGTGTGGGGTGGAGGGAACCATGGCCAAGATAGTAACGTTCCATGTGGATGCAAAGTGTCTTTACGTTCATTCAATGGCTGAATAGAGTCGATGGCAGGAGGAGCGTGGGGTGGGGTGGGGTGGGGGGTGTGAGGGGGGAACCATGGCCAAGGTAATAATAACGTTCGATGTTGTTGCAAGGGGCTTTTACATTCATTCAAATTCATTCAAGTAAGAACATTTTTGTATTTACAGCATATGGCTGAATAGAGTGATAGCAAAGATAGTAACGTTCCATGTGGCTGCGAAGGGTTTAAGAATATGTCGGTATTTACAGCATATGGTTGGAAACATTCGGTTGGTTTCTGCATCGTAGTTTCCTGGTCGTTGGTATACAGCGGAGTGTATAGTACGCTGCCCCTAAAAGCGACGACATCTTCACGAGCATTTGCAATTTTGAAAGATGAAGATGAACTTGTTGAGGATTCTTCTTTTGGAAATGTTATATGGGTTGGTTTCGTGGATTTGGTTACCGAATCAGTGTTTTTGGTTACCGAATCAACGGTTTTGGTTACCGAATCAGCGGCATTGGTTACCGAATCAAGAAGGGTTTTGGTTACCGAATCAGCGGTTTTGGTTACCGAATCGGCGCTTTTGGTTACTGAATCATAGTTACCAAATCAGACCGTTTGGTTACCGAATCAGACGTCGACCACAAATTTGCGCTTGGGCTTTTGTCAGGCCTGTTGAAATTGTAGCAGAATGGTGCATAACAGAGGAATTTCTCACCAGGGACCTTCAGTTTGACTCCACGCAGTTCACTTCATCACCAGACTATTTTTGCTTGCTTAAGGAAGCCAGCAGTGCTTGCTAGTTTGCACTTCATCCACATGCAGCACTGGAATGGCATGGTCAAAAGAGCTGCAACTGACCAAATCACTGGTCACAAAACTGTAGTTAAGTATAACACGTTCTGCCTTTCTGGCCAGAAGCAAGTTTGTGGCCATAACTAACCATGACATCGAGTCATTGGATCTCTGTATCAGCCTGTCAAAACTGGAGCGTGGACTGGATTGCATGTGTTGTTGCAGCTGCACATTGTAGATGCATAGGCAGCAGCATAGTGGTAAAGCGTTGATCCTTCAGAGATCGAGCGCTGATTGTCCCCTTGCACTCCTGCCATATTGCCTTCGACGGCTGGGGCGTTTGAACACAGAACTCGCACGTCTCAATATTGAGCCGAAAGGGGTGAATCTAGTTATCTAGTTGCGCGCGTGTGCGATGCAACCATTCTTTCGACCTACGACTCTCCGATTATGGATCTACCACTTTGTTCAACCCATGGTAATTTTTTGATGAAAGTTGTGCATCTTTGTGCCATGATTTTGAGGGTGGGCTTGGTTTGGGCTGTAGCGGGGATAAGCATATAGTAGTTTTCTATTGTTTTTGCACTTAAACGTTTTTCTTTTTCCGTAAATTTTCCAATGTGGAGAATCCCTAATTTTGTGCTATAATATGCTTTACAAAAAAAGTATCAAGTAAAAAATCACACCAGCATAGACCCCAGATAGCACAAGATATTTGTCGGCAGCATAGCAGTTGCACCCACGCTGGGGCAGGCTGGCGCCGGTGCTGGATCGGCGTCTTCTTGGGCGTTAAAAACGAAACGCCCATCCAGCACTTGCACGGACAAAACGGAACGCGCCGACCCAGAGCCAGCGCCAGCGTGGGCAAAACGAAACGCCGACCCCCAGCACCAGCACGGCACCAGCGCGGGCAAAACAAAACGCCAACCCAGAGCCAGCAGCAACGGGAAAACGAAACGCCGATCCAGAGGTAGCACCTGCACCAGCGCGGCCAAACGAACGCCCATCCAGCACCATCGCCAGATGGGCAAAACGAAACGCCGCTCCAGAGCCAACACCAGCGCAGCACCCGCCCGACCAAACCAAGGGCAAAACAACACGCCGATCCAGCACCAGCACAGACAAAACGGAACGCCGACCCAACACCAACACCAGCACGCGCAAGACAAAACGCCGACCCAGAGCCAGCACCAGCACGGGCGAAACGAAACGCCGATCCAGGGCCAGCACCTGCACCAGCACTAGCGCGGACAAAATGAAACGTCGATCCAGAGCACCGGCACGGCACCACCACGGGCAAAAAAGAACGCTGAGAAGTACGAACCTCTATAGTTTGCATCTATCTGGGGCAATACGGGATCACAGGTCGTTTGCTGTCAAGATCGTACTTTCTATTGTGCGATGATTGTGCCATTGTTCGAACCTGTGCAAACTTGCATAACTTGCCTAGGACATAGAGGTGGACCGGCTTTGCGAAGCTTTCAGCGCCAGTCCTGTGGGCGATGAAGCAGGGTTCGACTACTACCGGTTTTGCAAAGTTCGGAGCTGAAAATGTGTGTTATTACAGTTTGGAATGGAGCACCCCGTTTTGTCAGGTCGTAGATCCCTTCATGGTGCTTCTCTCAGGGACATCGGACATCGGGATAATTTTTGTGGTTTGTGAGTCGACCTTGGCGGAGGCAGCTCATGCTCCTGATTGGCAGAAGGAAAAGACAAAGACGGCAAAGCCGAGGGAGGCCCGAACTACGTCGCTGAGCTGCGGTATGAGGCATGCCTTTTTGCTAGCTACATTGCAGAATCTTCATTGGATTTGTTGGCCAAGGACAATGTATTTCAACTTTTCCAACGAAGTGGCCAGCTTCTCAAGTGGACAAAGCAATACAAAACACTGAAACACAGTTGAATATTCAAGGAATACGTCAAAGGGCTACCTCAAAACTATGTGCAAATAATGCAAGCAAGGTGCCACACCCAAAGCTCAGCAGACCTGCTTCTGCTCCGCATTTTCGACACTGATGCGATAGTTGGGTTCTTGAGCATGCATAACTGAACAATTAGAGTGCTTAACTTCGCATTGTGGGCAGAACAGCTGTGTGACTGACGAGTGGATGGCACGCGTCTGTGACTCATGCGCGTCTCACCCTGAACAGAAGGATACAGTAGTTTTTCCGACGGCTCCGGACCGGATCGGATGTCAGCGCAGCAGACATCCTTTTGGCCTCCATCGTTCTACAGAGCTTGGCCCAACGGGGCCCAACTGTATAATGTCCTTGTCTTAAAACGAGGCAAGTTCAAGCAGAATCAAGGTGTGAAATGTCACCTTGACTGTAGTTTCAGCATGGTGAACACGTTTGAATTCATGCTTTCAGCCCTTTTTGTGCCCCCGGCATGAGAAAATTTCATTGCCGAATTCGGCACAATGATGGTTTTCGCTTTGTGGGGACACCAGGCGATGTTCCATAAAATAGCAAGCCGTGCCCGTGTTTCCATCAAGCAATGGGTGGATCCTTGCGGGTTCAGGGCACAGGGAGGGGTATTTACTGTACTGTAAGCTTTTCGCCGGAAACAATGCGTTAATCTCCTAAACCTAGTTGCTGAAGGATGGAGCGGAGCGTTCGCCATTCAACACCCCTGAGGTCTCTAAGTCTTTGGGGCCAGACGGTGTGGCAGCACTCTGACCTCTTAGTCTTTTGGATGTTTGGGTGATACCTGCAGAGAATGATGCTATAACATGCTATAACCTGTAACGGTTAATGAATGTCCACCTCCTATTAATAACCCCCCCCTCCCCCTTGATCAAGTGCGGGCCCTAAATAGTATGAAATCCAGAAAAATCCTATATAGACAATTTTGATTTGCATTGGACATGAAAGGAGAGAAAAGGAAATGAAAGGAAAGGAAATGAAAGGAACATGAAAGGAAAGGACAGGAAATTGAAAGGACAAGGAAAGGAAAGGAAATGACATGAAAGCAATCAATGTAAGTAGTGCTGAAGGAATTGTAAAGGGGCTGAGGCTAAATAACCATAGCCCCCAATAAAGCTAAAGCTGTTCAACCAAAAGGAAACCTAAAGGCATTGTAAAAGAAACCACCAAATATATACTGTAATCAGATTCTGGAACCAACTGAAAGCTCAGAATCAGCTTGCATGAATCAAGGTCTGGAAGCAGCTGAAAATCAGGGTCCTGTAGAAATTTAGTATTATTTGAGGGCCATTTATTATTACATTTTGAAAAAAAGTTAAGTTATTCACGGGCTATTTATTATTATCAGGTCAACGTTACTGGGGAAATATGTTTCACTGTCCCTGGCTGTAGTTTCAGTCCATTATCGACATTGGATATGCCACAGGAGGAGACCATGCACCTCACTTGCTGCTCGCTCAGCTCAAGCAATCGAGGAATCCTTTCACAAAAGAGCCAGGAGAGGGTTCCTATAGCCTAAGTCGAAGAACAACCAGTCGGATGCCCACGAACAAGAGAGCCGTCAGGAATGCACCATCAAGGTGATGAAATATGGTACAGTACAGTCGAAAGATCGTTGGACACGGATTGTGAAAGACGATTTGCAGAGTGTTTGCCGATTGGATGTTCAACAAATCCTTGCTCAGCAGTTGCATCCACGTTGAAGCTATGTCCCGATGGGTTTCGAGCAGGTGCCATGGCGCAAGCTCTTGATAATCTTGATATACCAGCCGCGTTTGGACGTCGAACCTTTCATTCCGGAGGACTAGTCAGACTAGTCTATGGCAAATAGTTTGGCAGTGGCAGCATGGTGGAAGAAACATGGCCACGGATGGGTCTTGGAATTCTTTGTTGTTCACGATGGCCACACTGGTATTTTGGTATGAGGTATGCGACATGTGCATTAAATCACATTTTTTGGAAAACACAAGATTCTACATATAGATGGAAACGGTGGCCTGAACTCAACCGCGTGAATTCTGAGTTAGTCATTCAGTCTTTTGTCCATAGGATCGAGAGCCATATATATATATATACGTCTCTAGGCACTGTTGCCAAGGTTCTTTTGCGGCGGAACACCTCACACTTTACGCAAATAAAACATAATGTGGGCTTCGCTTCACATAGCTCAAGTGTCTCCCCCTTCAAAAGCACCACGCCGCTCTTGATCTATTGGGGCGCAAAAGGCTATTTGCGGGAGTGGCAGGAGTTCAAATGTTTTTCGGATTTTTCCCGGGAGCGTTGCGAAGGGTTCTTCTATAGAAATCTATAGAAATCTGTTGCATAACACACCTGCATCAATATCTAGTATTTATGCTATAAGTGCGTTTTGCAGCTTGCAGGTATGGTTGTGTAGAGCTGCTGCTACGCTAGGATTTCTTTGGTGCTGGGATTTTGTTTTGGCGAATTGCTTTGGTGCTGGGATCTTGCTTCGGGTGGATTGCTTTGGTATGCTTTGGTGCTGTATCTTGCTTGGATAACTTTGGCTAGCATTGCTTTGGTGTTGGGGTCTTGCTTTGGTGAGTTGCTTTGACAAGGTGGGATCTTGCTGGGACAACTTTCGCTGGGATGTTGCTTAAGTAAGGTCATGTGCAAAGTGAAGTATAACTTTCGCTGGGGTCTTGCTTTAGCAAACGCATATGCAAGTATATAAACAGATGTTTTTAACAGAGTAAAACATACATGTGATCGTAGCCGGCTGGTCGAAGGCATGATTCGTCCGTGTGGCCTTTCTCGGTTCAGGCCTGTACTTAGAAGGTCAAGGATGACCACGGACTGAGGACATGGCCATGAGTTGAAAACGGTGGTTGCGTGCGGCTTTTTACATTGTGGAGTTTCCATTTGTCATAGGTTTGACAGTGATTGGGGCTTACCAGTTCACACTGGTAGCGGAGCCCTTCGGGGCCCGCTTGCGAGAAGAGAGGCATGACTGAGAACACCAAAGGCGAATCCGCCATCCGCAGGTTCAGTGGCGACGGCAATGATCCACAGAAAGACTACAAACTGTGGAAGCACTGGTCGAGGGCTTATCTGGCAGTGCAAAGGGCTAACGGGACGGACGAAGCTGTCTTCGGAGCGATGCTGTTCACTATGCTGGATGGTACAGCGCTGAGATCATTCGATGCAGTCAACATGGATGACCTGGAGCAAGCTGGCGGACACGATCTGATATACCAAGTGTTGGACGATAGGTTTCCGGAGGAAGTTGTGCACGATCGTCTGGGCGAGGTATTGGATCGGGTGTTTGACCTCAAAGTGGATCGTGGCGAGTCAACCTCACAGTACACTGGGAAGGCACAAGCAGCGTTTTCTGCAGCAGAAGCTGAAGGCGTACGTCTGCCGTCGGTTGCCCGGGGCTACATGCTGTTGAGGAATGCTCGATTACCTCAAGACAAGAAGGCAGTGGTCATGGCTGCCGCCAGACAGTCGTATGAGGAGCTGGACATCGCTGCTGCTGTGAGGACGACGTATCCTGAGGGCCTTTACTCAGGTCGTCAGGGTCACCATGCTGCAGTTGTTGATGCTGAGGCCGAGGACGATGATGCAGGCGACATCGGGGACGTTCTCGTGGCTGAAGACGACGAGGGACTGTTGGGTGATGACCCAATTGAAGAACAGGACGCAGTCGACGTCCTACTGTCTTGGAAGCAGACAAGGCAGAACATCAACAAGGAGAAGTTGTCGTGCGGGCTCAATACCGGAGGATTGAAAAGACTGGAAGCCCGAGTGACCGACACGGAAAGGCAAATCAAGTGGAAAGGGTGACAGTTCTGGCAGTTCCAAGGTGAGCTTTGTGAACATGGTTGGAGGCGGGAGTGCAACATCTCGCACAGAAGATGACGAGATCGATGAAGTGATGCGGAGTTGGTCGGACAGACCACGTGATTCCTGGACGGTGACGGAGACAGAAGTGACAAGACACCATGTCAATCCACGGACCTCGATGTTCAGTCCAGCACGGACTGGATGTCCAGTGCCGGTTCAACAGTTGAGCATGGCACGATTGACCATCATGGAGCACCAGGACGGCACCTCCGATGAACAGTTCACACCAAACTGGAAGAACAGCTTGGAAGCTCACAGGAAAACAGACAGACCTTGGAAGGGCAAGACCATCTTCTACTACCTCCAGGGTCACGGTTCAACAGAAGAAGAGGAGAGGACAGATGTCAACGATGAAGCCTTCGTGCGACTGCTGGACGCTGAAGACGCACTGGATCGAGAGATCTTCGGTATCTGATGAGTATTTCGTTCAGGTTGCTGGTGTTGACATTGAGCCGGAGGAGGAGAGACCAGAGTTGATCAATGATGAGGCCCTGTTCAGATTGCTGGATCCCGAGGATGCTTTGGACCGTGAGATTTACGGCTCAGAGTATGAAGCCCAGTGCCTCGGCATTGACACCGAGGTGGATGAGATCACAGCAGCATTCTTTGAGGCAGCAGGAGAAGAGCCATCCTTCCGCGAACCAGGAAGCAGTGAAGACAATGAAGTTGCTGAATCCAGACCACAGGAGAGCATGTGCGCTTTGGTGCATGCAGCGGGCTTTGGCATCTTAGACACTGGATGCGGAAGAGGCCTAGTCGGAGCCAAAACTCTGGAACGACATGTGGACAAGCTGCGAACACACGGCTATGACATCACTGAACTCCCAGAGAAGATGCACACCTTCAGATATGGGAATGGTTCGGCTGACAGAACTGGTCGTCGTGTTGAGATGCCAGTATTTGTGGGTGGCAAGGAGCTCAGGGTTAGGCTGCATGTCGTGCCCGGAGATGTACCCTTGCTGATCTCCAAGAGACTCCTCAAGAGCTTGGGGGCTATGATCGATCTCAATGCCAACAAGCTGATCATGACCAAGGCCGGAGTGGCGGCCGACATTCATGAGATGAAAGACAACTCCTACCAGATCAATCTGCTGGACCTGGAGCCAGGTGAGAAACTGTGTTCACCCGAAGTGGACGTCACGCTAGTTGCCGTGCACCAGGAAGAGTCCAGTCAAGACGATGAGAGTGAGGACACCGGCGTTCGCTGCGTGTTCAAGGCCAAAGATCGGAAGCACTGGGATTGGACCATAGGAGAACATCGTAGGAGAGCCGAGCAAGTATTGCATCTAGTTGACCCGGATTTCACCATTTTCTCTCCACCGTGCGGACCACTGTCGTTGATGCAAAACCTCACAAAAGACAGCAAACGATGTGACTTGAGCCAACATCAGATCGAGGTCCACCAGGCAAAAGGCATGGTTAGATGGTCTTTGAAGCAGTCGGCCGAGAGGATTCGAAGTGGCAATTTTTTTGTTTGAACCATCAAAGACCAGTGGAGCATGGCGCATGCCGGAAATGGACACTTTTGTGAACAAACACGAGCCATTCATGATTGATGCGCCAGCTTGTTCGGTAGGCTTGAAGGACCCAACCACAGGTTTGCTGTTCGGTAAGCAGTGGCGATTCATGACAAACTGCCAGACCGTGGCTGCCGCCCTGGACCGTCTGACCTGCAACAAAGAGCACGAGCATCAGACGATTGAAGGCTCGTCAGCCGGCATGCTTCGTTCGATTAGGTCGCAAGCATATCCAGATAGGTTGGTCAAGATATTGTTAGGAGCCATGGCACAACATGAAGCATTTGAGCATCATTGCATGGCAGTAAGTCAAGCGTCCATCCAAGGTGATTTGAAGGGTGAGAGTAGGCGTCGGATTGAGAAGGCCATTCATAAGCTTCACATCAACGTAGGTCACGCATCGAAAGCCGACATGACTAGGATCCTGCGCCATCACCATGCCCAGGAGTTTGTCCTGGAATTGGTGAAGAGTCATGAGTGTAGCATATGCCAGTCCCATGCTGCACCCAAGGCGGTGAAAGATTCGGCGCCACCGCGTGACATGGCGCCGTTGAGATATCTAGGACTAGATGTGAAACATCTCCCACCCTGGAAACCCCATGAGAAAATCAAAGCAGTCAACGTTGTTTGCAGGACGTCGGGCCTCCAACAGATGTACCCTTTTAGAGAACAAGAAACGGCAGAAGTCATTGGCCGCTTGTACAGACACTGGACGAGGTCGTATGGACGCCCCAGATATTCAAGTTCGACGCAAGTCGTTGTAACCTAGGCCAGAGTTTCCTAGACCTCTTAGAGAGAGACGGTACAACGGCACTGGACATCCCAGGTGAAGCACACGAACAGATGGGGGACGTGGAAAGCCAGGGTTGGCATTTTGAAGAGACTTTTCGCCGTGTGTTAGATCAAATGGCTCCCCAAGATTTTGTTCAGTGGCAAGAATGCATTGACGTCACCGTCGCAGCCAGAAATTCGTTGCTGAGACGCGCCGGTCACAGCCCGTACCAATTGGTCTTCGGACGTGATCCAGAGTGCCCTGGCGATGACTTATGCAGTGAACAGCCCAATCCAATTAGCAATAGTGCAATCCTCGAAGACGCCATCGCTGAGTACTCAAGTAGATCCAGAAGCATTGCACGTCAAGAGACTCTGCAGCAGCTCGATCACCGGGCAGCCCGGATCGCGTTGAACAGCAGGCCAAGACCTCTTCGGGAATTCCGTGCTGGCGACGAGGTGGCCATCTGGAGAAGAGGTAAAGGTATAAAGAAGTCTAGTGCAAGATGGCGTGGCCCTGGTGTCATTGCAGGATATGCAGGTGGTAACTATTGGGTTTCCATGCCTGGTTCATTCGTAAAGTGTTCTCCAGAGCAGCTGAGGCTTCGTACCACTGAAGAACGAGAAGCCGATAGGTTCCTGGTTAGAGACCTGCGAGCAGCAGCAGCATCACTGTGGCCTGAAGTAGGAGTGTCAAATCGTCCGCATCAGAAGTGTTATTTTGACATAACTTCCGAAGACATGCCACCAGGGGATCTGACCAGCATCCGACCGGCTGACATGCCAGACTGCAGAGTTCAAGCGCAGCCAAGTGCTTCGCCGGAACAGGCTGAACCTCAGCCGCAGGTAGAAGACGCAAGAGTGCCACAGACGCCCGCATCGCTTGAGAGATCGTCAGATCAACCTGGCTCACTCGGTGAAGAAGCATCACCTTGACAAGTAGAGAGCATCCCAAGTAGTGACAAGAGCATGACAGAACGATTGAGCCAGATGTCTCAAGAAGATCGTGCTGCGTGGCAACAGTCGAGAGACCGGGCAGATCGCCTTGACGGGTACATTCGTAGAGAACCACCTGAACCAGTAGTTGAACAACCAGATAAGAGACCAAGAATACATGAACCGGAATCACAACTAGTCGGGGGTCAAAGATATCCACCGTCCATGCCAAGTCCTTTCGGAGCTGAAGCCATTCACGTACCCAGTTCAGAGTCAGGTGCCTCAGGTTCACATGGACTGTACACTTCAGCGTTCGGAGTAAGAGATTCAGGTGACCCGGCAGTTGCCCTTTCCTCGACTGATGAAGACCAAGACTTCATTCTGTGCATAGATGCCGAGGACCAGGTCTTGTTAGCTGGAGGTCGCAATGAACTGAACCTCAAACTGGACAAGTGGACAAGCCCGACAGGTAAGCAGAAAATCATCACAGGTGTCCGGAAGGAAGTCAAGAATGTTGTAGAGGACAAACAAGCACTGAGACCTTTGACAGTTGAACAGTCACGACATGTCCGTGCCTCCCAGTCAGACCGCATTGTACCCAGCAAGCTAGTCCTTGTAGAAAAACACGATGAGACCGGTCAAGATGTCGTGAAGGCCCGATGGACAGCCAGGGGTGACAAGGACCCAGATCTAATGGCCCTGATCCGACAGGGTAGGACGCAGTCTCCGACCATTTCGTCGAATGGAAGATACACAGTTCTTCAAAACATCGCTAGCAATCAGTTTGACATCCAATTAGGAGATGTGACTGGTGCCTTTTTGGAGGCAGACGAGATGGAAAGAGGAAATGGCAAGTTGTTCATGTCACCGCCTAGAAATTTTGCACTTCCAGATCATGACCCTGAGCAGTTGTTTGAGGTGATCAAGCCCATTTACGGATTAAATGACTCTCCTCAAAAATGGTTCACCAAGTTTGACAAAACCATCAAAACCTTGGGGTGGAAGCAATCCAAGCTGGATCATTGCATTTATTTTCTGTGGCAGGGCAACTAACTGCAAGGAGTGTTAGGTGTGCACGTTGACGATGTTGTGCTTGGAGGCAGAGGCCAGGTTTTCGAGCAATCGGTTCGACAACGCAGGGACACATTCCCATTCCGGAAGTGGAAAGTTGGGTCCGGGAGTTTTTGTGGCTCAGAGTTATCCCAATGTTCCAGCACGAAGACCATCACAGTAAGTCAAGAGAATTTTGCTGATAAACTTGAGAAGCCAAAGTTGCGAAATAGGGAATCACCATTGGTTGAAGTGAATCAGCAAGAAGCCTCATCCCTGAAATCCGTGCTGGGAGGGGCTCTGTGGCTAGTTCGAGAGACGAGACCCGACTTAGCAGTGCAGGTAAGCCAGGGACAGCAGATCCTTCCAAGGCCGACCCTTGGAGAAGCACGCACAGTGGGCAACGTGGTTCGTAGAGCTAAGCAATATAAGAACATGACATGGAAAATGCTCCCAATACCCATGGAAGAGATTAGGTTATGCCTACGCACAGATGCCGCATTCGCAAACGCCAAGAAGCAAGGTACTCAGGCAGGTTATCTTGTGGGGGTTGCAAATGATGACTTGCATGAAGGAAGACCCGCTCCATGGAGCCCCTGCGTTTGGAAGTCATATCGACTCAAAAGGGTCGTGGGATCGACTTTTGCCGGGGAATCGCAGGTGCTCTCAGACGGGCTAGGTCATGCCGAATGGTTGGCCTGTCACCTTGCAGAAGCAAAGCATGCAGATTTCAAGCTGTTGACGCGTCGTGAAGTGTTAAAGGAGTTCAAACTACAAGCCATCGTAGATTGCAAGAGCATTTACGATCACCTCCAGAACTTCGCCTCGCCAGGCAGTGTCAGCGACAAGAGAGTCGCGATTGACCTTGTGATAGTGAGAGAAACGCTTGCTCGGGTTGGGGGGTGATTCGTTGGGCTCCGACGTGGCTGCAGATTGCAGACGCTTTGACTAAAGAAACACCGGAGGCCATGGATTTGTTAAGAGCCGCCATGAATGCCAATAGGTATCATCTAAATAGAGAAAGCACCATGATGGAAGCAGCCGCTCACCAGAGACAGCTTCGTTTGAGTAGGAAAGTGCCGACCGTAGGTGAGAAAGCTCAAACGGCCGACAGTGAATCACAAGTGCATTTCATTCGCTCGTACGTCGATCCAATGGTGAAGGTGCCTGTGGAGAAGATTTCCGAGGAGGAGATCAGATCTCTGTTTGAATGCATGGTTAGTGGATGTGTGCTGAATGGAGAAGAGTTCCAGAAGCACATGCAGCAGTCGCGCTCGATGTGCAAGGCTCGCATCCCGGCCCGGGATGTCAACAACAAGCAGTTTGGAGGTGAAGACACCTTGCTGACCTTCACTTTCACGAAGACCACGAAGATGATTCAGATCCAAGGGAGTGCGACAATGCTGGACCGAGCAGAAGCGACCTTGAAGAAGGTCTTGGAGGCCTATGGAACAGTGCTCCGCGGGGGAAATGTCATTCCTCTTCCAGAGGGATGTCAGAAGTGGGGTGCAGCGATCAAGGAGAGCCTTGATGGTGGATCAGTGTCAAGCTTCTTGGAAAGTCAGCGTGCGGGGGCTGCGGGGGAGAGCAAGACTGAAGAACCAGTGAAGTCTGAGCTGATCTCGAAGCAAAGCTTTGTTCCAGAGGATGAAGAGTTCATTGCCGCAGTGGCTGAGCTTTGCAATGAGGGTGCCCGTCGTTTGCATCGTTATCCTGCTTGGCGCAACAAGTACCTACAGTTCATGCTCAAGGAGTTCAATGCCTCAACGGATCAAGTGCTCCACCTCTCTGAGCTGTGGGAGGAAATGAACGAAGGTGAAACGATGGAACAGTGGACCTTCGAAGAGCCAATGCATGCAGCCGCAAAGCCAAAGGCCCGTCCAGATGGCTACCGACCTTCGACCAAGAAAGAATTTTAAGCAGTGTGATCGTAGCCGTTTGGTCGAAGGCCTGATTCGTCCGTGTGGCCTTTCTCGGTTCAGGCCTGTACTTAGAAGGTCAAGGATGACCACGGACTGAGGACATGGCCATGAGTTGAAAACGGTGGTTGCGTGCGGCGTTTTACATTGTGGAGTTTCCATTTGTCATAGGTTTGACAGTGATTGGGGCTTACCAGTTCACAATACATATGTTTGTTCGCGCCTGTGTCGTGTGTGATATATCTCGCTTACTTATCTCTTCCTGGCCGGACAGGGCTTGCGAAGCGTGACCCTTTGCGGAGATCGCGCGCGTCGAGTGCTCAAACGTTTGGTGAAATGCGAATTCGGGCTGCGCTGGATGAGCCCTCGGGTGCTCAAACGTGTGCTGAAATGCGAATCCTGGCTTGGCTGGAGGCACCCCTCGATCTGTGGAGATCGTGCGCGTTCGTGCGCGTCGAATGGTCAAACATGTGGTGAAATGCGAATTCCGGCTGTGCTGGATGAACCCTCTGCGAGATTGCGCGTGTCGAATGCTCAGACGTGTGGTGAAATGCGAATGCCGGCTGGGCTTGCTGATTTGTCGGCCCGTTTGCATTTTGCCATTTATTACAATAATACAAACAAAGCAGCCAATTTGCGAAAATGAATCTAAGTGTATTTCAGGGCTGTATTTTTTCGCATTTTTACTTTTTGGGGTTTGCTAGCCTCTACTTGAAATCCGGTGGTTCAATGATAGCTTTCTGTTGGCTTTTGGTCGCTTGTGTGGGCTCTTTGTGGCTTTGGTGTGCTTTTGGTGGCTTTTGGCTGGATTTTGTTGGCTTTTGGTTTCTGGTGGCTTTTGTTGGCTTTGGCTTTTGGCGTACGTTGGCTTTTCGTGGCTTCTTTCACTGTCATTGTCATCATCATCATCATCACCATCATCATCATCGCCGTCGTGGTCATCACCGTATGAGGTTGCAGGGGTGGTCGTCAAGGGTCATCATCTTCGAGTGCGTAGATGCAGGGGCAACACTTGGGCAACACCTAGTATATCACATCTACATAGACACAGGTGTTTGGAGACAGGTATTGGGGCACAGGTGTGAAGGTGGAGGTGGTACAGTTGCTGCGTAGTCCCCTCATTTTGAGTGCAGCTGCCCAGCGTGCGCGTGCTGAAGTAGGGGCTCTTAGGTGGGTCGAACTTTGTTTACCTCAGCAGTTCCTTATGACAGCCCCCAGCAACGAAAACCAGATTCATCCGGCCACTGCAACAGCGCAGAAGACCCAACCAAAGAAAACCATACCCAAAGTACCTCACTCAAAGCAATCCATAACCGCCAGTGCACCAGGTACCCAAGCGCGACTAGAAGATATCAACGGGCAACGGGCATGTTCATTTTTTCATGTTTTTAAACCTCTTGTTGTTCATCCGTGTCCATCCATTGTTGGCCATTGACTGGGTTGAAAGTGGAACCTGACGCTCACTGAGTTTATTTTGGACAGGTTCTTGCTCAGCAGAGGTAGACAGAAGCAAGCCAAGAGCTCGGGCAAATTGCATGTCTGCGCGGCGGCCTTTTTGTGATGTTGATTCAAGTTGATGTCTGGCATCCGCGCCAGGCATATGCAAACAGATCATGCACAGGACATTGGGCAAGAAACTGTTTGAGACGACTTCCTTGCATGTTGCGTTTGCGCCAAATCAATCCAAATCGAGGCGCAGCCTCACACCAGCCTATGTGTTTGTGTGCTTGTGCGTTCTGCGTTGCCCAAGCCATCATACTGTACCGTAGCCCACCGCGCTCTCAGAAGTTGCTGTCCTTGCACGCCGGTTCGCCTGTACTGGCTTGGATGGGAGGGGCGCCTGTGAGCGACTAGTAAGTAACTAGTTGCTGTGGACTGAAGGTCAATCAGAATCACCAGGCCCGCAATTCACAGGAACTATTGCAAACAATCACACCGGTCCACAAAATCAGCTTGGAGCTTAAAGCGCTTCAACGATTTGCAAAGGGGATGCAAACAGCCGCGTGCTTGCTTGCATACTTGGACAAAGAGGCGCACAAACTTAGACATAGGTTCATCCAGTATCAGAACCCACAAGGAAAGGAACGCAAGAACGGAATGAGCGCTGGGTCAGGAGAATTGTAGATGTTTTAACCAGAAAGTGTTTCACGCGACTGCAGAAAGCGGCGGTCGTGATAGCAGCAGCTGCAATGCGGAGGGAAACCTGTTTGATGGGGAGGTATCATGAAAACAACAATGGAATCAAAAAGACAGCGGCAGGATCAGTGGTGTCAGTGCGTTGGCTGCAGGTACGTCAGTTCCGCGTCCGGAACTGATATCCTCACTGGGTATTGCCAGCTTCGTTGGTGGAGAAGCAATACCGGTGTCTCCACCCCCTGCAGATCTTGTCTGAAAAAGCAACGGAAGCTCCTTGAAACGGAGTGTGACACACACAGTGTGCCGATCATCGGCGCGCCCTTGTGGGAACGGAGCGGTCTTTTTTGGTGCTTCAAAACCTGAATAGTCACCTAACAAGCCTTAGAAAAGGAAAAGAAAAAGAGGAAAACGAAGAGGGCAAGAGAAGAAGATAGGTGTAATTAGGTGTAATGTCGACGTCGGATTAATCAACGGGACCCCCACTACCCGAGAGATCGACTGTTAGGAACTATGCGACAAAGCCCTTTCAAACATAACAACAACAACAACAACAACAACAACAACAACAACAACAACAAGATGCACAACAACAACAACTACTACTACAACAACAAGATGAACAACAATAACAACGATAACAGCAGCAACAACAACAAGACGAACGACGACGACGACGACGACGACGACGACGACGACGACTATACTACTACTACTACGACGACTACTACTACTACCACTAGTTGCTACTACTACTCCTACTATTGCTACTACTGCTACTACCACTACTACTACTACTGCCGCTACTACTGCTACTACCGACTCCTACTACAACTACTAGTACTAGAATAAGTACTAGTACTGGTACTACAACTACTACCACCACCACTACTACTACTACCATTACTACCACCACGACGACGACAACGACAACGATTACAACTACTACTATATACGAGCACTGCGGACCCCGCGAAGTCCACGGACCGCGCAAGCCCCACGAACCCCGCAAGCCCCACGAACCCCGCGGCCCCCGCGGACACCGCGCGCTGCTTGGACTCCCGCAGCCGCAGTCCACGATGACCATGCTCGTGCCGCCATCCATGATCGCGGCTACAACGACCTTTGTAGCGCACTGACAACAGCGACGATTCTCGTGATGATCTACTTAGCCTGCAAATACTGCGCCCACTGTCAGTGCCACGCGAGGTCAACACGCATATAACATGTCGTTGAAAGCGCGTGCACTTGCTGAGAAGAGCAGACGTCACATAGAACGGAACAGTCCAAGCCACCCCCCCTCCCCCTACAAGGTCAACAAGGTTTGAGATTGGAGGTATTTGGGGAGGACATCCCCCTAATAAAGGTTGTTGATATGATTCTGTGTGAACACTGAGGCCTGTGAGAGGGGTATCCTTTTTGTGAGCTAGAAAACGTCAAGATTTTGATAGAGTTTTAATAAAGGCAAAACGAAAATATTTCGCTAGAGAGGTTTTTAAGGGATCAGAAGATATTGGATACTGTATACATATAGTAGTATAAATTGTTTCTTTTTCTGGGGCAGCTGGGATTGATTAACATGGGGGGTTTTCTGGACAGGAAGAAAACTATTAGGGGGATGCCAAGGTGGAAATCTAGGATTTAAATTAGTTTAGTATTGGGATTATTGGGGGTTCGACGTTCGAGCTGGGATTGATTAATATCGGGGGGTTCATTGATCCTATGTTGACATTAGGGGCATGCATGTTTGCCGCACGAGCGGCAAATTACGGGGTCGAAGCCTGATTAGCCACCTAACGAGCCTTAGAAAAGAAAGAAAGAAAGAACAAAACAAAAAGAGGAAAACGAAAAAGGCAAGAGAGAAAGATAGGAGTAGCGAAAAAGTGGTGACTAACTTAGCCCTTGACTAAAAGGAAATCACTTCATTACAACCTAAAAAACCTCTAGCGAAAAGGCAGACCTAGAAAGAACAACGAACAGGCAAGAGAGAAAGAAACAAAACCCGAGGGGCAGGGAAACGAGCCTCAAGAACCACCTAACGAGCCTGAAAGAGCACCTAGAAAACGAAGGAAGCGCAAGAGAGAAAAAGCAGAGGAAACGAACTCCCCGTTCCACTCATCGACACACTTCTGCGCTGCTTGATGCGACATAATGTGCAACTACCAACTAAAATGGTGTCGAGACCCTTCTATTTCTTGCCAAATAGCTTGACCGGCTTCTGCTACCACACCTTGGACCTCGTGTCTTCTTTGACAGTAGAATCTGTAGAATGATAAGCGCAGCAGTTCGTAGCGTCGACGAACGTAAAAATTTGGCACAACGGCGTCGGGAAGCCAGACACCCCCCTATGTGGTTGCGTGCGCGATAGCGCGAGCGTGTGTCTGTGCGCGCGCGCGCATTTTACCCTCTCTGTTCAACAGACACACCGTCCCGGCGCGACACCTTTCTGCACACAAGCAGGTGGCCAGCTGTACATATTCTTTTCCATTTTCCCTGAAGGTCACAGACCTTCAGGGACACCCATGCTCCAAACCTTTTTTACACAGAAGCAATGCACAGAACAATTATTTGCAGTCAAGGGTCTGGAAGGGTTGCAAGAAGCGGTTTCCATCGGTCAGCGCCCGGAAAGGACCGTCCTCGACATAGGGAACGTTGAAGCCCAAGGAGCGGAGCGCATCTACCAAGCATACCTCCTTCGGCACAAAGTCAGCCTGATAGACTTGAGAAAGCCACCGCATAGTTCTAAGGAAACAAACACGTCCGAGTATCGCCGGTAGTTTTTTTCTTGTCCACACCGTCCGCAGACTTGTCCCCAACGACTTGGACAAGTTCGATTTTTTCGAGGACTTTGGTCTGAAACTCTTCGAATGTTTCCTGGTCACGTCGGGCTTCCGCAAGGCTCTTTTGCACCCAGCGCTTGGGAAGCTTTCGGAGGGCGCTCCGCAGCACATTGTCTCAGTACTGCTTCCCATGGATACTCGGTCGGGGCGACTCCAAGATAAATCACATCTTCATCCACGCCTGCCGTGCATAGACGCAATGTCCTCAGCCACTACAGGCACTCTCTTCGGGAATATTCTTTAAATACACCTTCACAGTGCAAACGAGAAGCTCGCTTTCAGTCACAGCAAAACTATTGGTAGACGAATCTGGACCAGAGGAACCTTGGAAGATGCAAAAGCAAGTTTCTGACATTGCTTATTGTCTTCTATATGAAGCCGAGTGTCCGTTGTGCTGGGCCGCTCAATCTCTAGCCGCTAGCCGGGATTTTGACGCCTGGCCAACCGTGAGTGCAGGATATATGCAGTTTGCGTGGAAAGTTTCTGTTATACGAACTACTAGTCCCAGGCTCGCCTGAGCTGTCTGCAAAAAGCTCAGATTTCTTACAACTGCAGTGGGGCGCTTCATAGGTCTGTCGAGCTTCAAACGCTACCACTCATTCGTTGCGTAAATTGCAAACCCAATGATGGCAAGCAGCAGCCAACGCACAGCAGCAAGAACGCCCGACCGTGTGCGATCTCAAAAGTCATTCTTGACGAGCTGACTGCCTCGAAGTCCAATATTATCAGTAATGCCAACCCCGGATTAATAAACCGCCCTCCCCCCCACATGGTAGGTCAACAAGGTCAACAAGGTCTGAGATAGCACTCATGAGGTCCACTCCCCCTGAATAATGTGCTATGAGACCATTGGACCATGACGGTTTGAGAGGGGATGAGCTGATGAGCATGAGGCTAGAGTAGGTAGTAGGTAGTAGTAGGGTAGGTAGTAGGAGTAGGTAGTAGTAGGTAGTAGTAGGTAGTAGTAGGTAGTAGGTGGTAGTAGGTAGTAGGTGGTAGTAGGTAGTAGGTAGTAGTAGGTAGTAGCTAGTAGGTAGTAGTAATCACAACAAGTTTAAACAAGCACAAAAGAAAAGGCCAGGGACACAGGATCAGATTAATAGGGGGTAGTAGTGCAGATTATTGATGGGGGGCCGGCCCTTGTGAGGGGTACCCTTTGTGAGCTTGTCAAATGATTGTTTTTAATTGTTTTTTAATAAGGCAATTTATAGGCCCTGAGCCCTGGACATTTTTAAGGATTTCATCAAACATGTAGTAGGTAGTAGGTGGTGATGGTGGTGGTGGTCGTGGTAGTAGCAGTAGCAGTAGCAGTAGCAGCAGCAGCAGCAGCAATAGCTACAGCAATAGCTAGTAGCAGTAGCCGCAGCAGCAGCAGCAGCAGTAGTAGTAGTAGTAGTCGTAGTAGTGGTAGTAGTAGTAGTAGTAGTAGTAATACGAAAATTGACCTGGTTGTGGGCTCGGATTAACTGGGGGGGATTGTTGGTAGAAAAGTAGACCATAGGGGGGGGGAAATCAACAGCGAATAATACTTGTAATTTGGGTAATTTTCGGCGGCTTTGTGGGCCCGGGTTAACTAGGGGGGATTGATTAATCCTAACTTGGCATTACGTTTTACATCAGACTAAAAGATGTTGACAGTTTCAGGTTT